TGGAATTATTATTTCAGGTGCCAGCATCATGCAGAGCGCGAGTTGTGTAAGACCAAGAGTTGGCAGATGTCAGTTTCAGAAATGCTCACTAATCTTATCTCCTTGTAACCCAAGCTTATGCTTGCCTTTCCATTCGGAAAAAGAAGAAGAAGAAGAAGAAGCCATAATTAAATAGAGCCCTGAATAAATGCACGTACACATATGCATAGGGATTGGCCTCAATTCAAAGAGTGATGCAAAGGTCATTGGCCTGTGAAATTAATTAAGATCTCAAAGTCTGAGAAATCTTTGCGTGCTCCAAGAACACCACATCATTTACACTCTAACCATTAAAATACCTGACATCAATAAGTTTAATCTGACGTGTTTTCTTGTTTGTCATTTTTTTTAAAAAATCGAATGCCCATCTTCCCCTGCTTCTCTCTTTTCGACCGTAAGCTTTCTCTTCGTTTCTTTTCTCAAACTTTCTCTCTTTTTCTTATTTACTGTGTTTTTCTGCTTCTCTTCCTTCAACTCTCTCACCTCTTCCTTCATCCTCTCTCATCTGCCTCCCTTCCCTACCTCTGCGTCACCTACTCTTCCCCAACCCTAACTCCTCTGATCCCCACCGTCATTGACTCCTTGGAGTTCGCTTCTCTTCGCTTGGAAGATTTCGACCCTTCCATCATTTGCTCATTCTTGTACACCAATGTCTCCCTCCTTCAACTTGTAACATCTTTTCCCCTCTTGCAGCTTCTTAAATCTGGTCGGTCCTTATTTCAGATCTAAAGTCATGAGCGAAAAATTGATCTTCTTGAACCTAAATCTATAGTCTGAAATTTATGCATTGTTTGGTATTTTTATTTTTTGTTGGGCGAAAGGAGGAAAGAACGCCACTCTGCATTTGGTGAGCAGGGATGGAGTCAGAGGAGGGAAAGAGGTTAACAAGGAGAGAGGATTTGAAAAAAGGGGAAATTTCACTGTAGGACCGCAGAAGATAATTAATTTCAAAAAGCCTCCAAAACTTTCTGAAATTTCACTGCAGGACCAAAGGGGCAAACTGATATTAATTCCACAAAGAAAATGACCCTATTACCCCTCATATGAACAAGTATGGGAGAACCCATTTGCAAGTGAGGTTAGATAATTTACAACATGTATAGATATATTTACAATTAAAATTAGTCCATTTACATATTACATTCTTCACCTAAAGAATGTGTCTGGGTGAACAAGTGTGGGACAGCCCATTTGCAAGTGGGACTAGACAATTTGCAACATACATATATTTATTTACAACTGGAATTAGTCCATTTACATGTCACTTCCTTCACCTGAAAAAGGTCTCCGTGAGTAAACAAGTGTGGGAGCGCCCATTTACAAGTGGAATTAGTCAATTTGCAACATACATACATATATTTACAATTAGAATTAGTCCATTTACATATCACCTCATTCACCTGAAAAAGGTGCCTGTAAGTGAATAAGTGTGAGAGAGCTCATTTGCAAATGGGACTAGTCAATTTGCAACATACATACCTTTATTTACAACTGAAATTAGTCCATTTACATGTCATCCTACAATAAGTATTATGAGGGGCAATAGCATCATTTTCTTTGTGGAATTAATATCAGTTTGCCCCCTTGGTCCTGCAGTGAAGTTTCAGAAAGTTTTGAGAGCTTTTTGAAATTAATTGTCTTCTGCGGTCCTACAGTGAAATTTTCCCTTGAAAAAAAGATGAAGAGAAAAAAGTGGCCGAGGAGAGAGAGTCGGGAAAAAAATGACAGATAAGCTTCCACATCAGATTAAATTATTGATGTAGTGTATTTTGATTTGTCAGAGTATAAATGATGTGATGTCTTGGAGCGCGTAAGAATTTCTCTTCAAAGTCCATTTCACCAATTGGGATATCATATTACCTTGGGGTTGGTTAAAATTAGAAATCCATGTTGCCAATAAGGTCATTTGATTGGCACTGTTCATTAGGTACATATATAGAAAAAATTACCCATAAGTCTCATAGAAGATAATTAATTCTGAAAAAATCTCTCAAAATCTCCAAATGCTTTTTAAGTCCTCAGAGACTTCAGAACAAAAAAATTAAAATTGTAAAATTACCTACTTGCCCTCACTGATTGAAAAGGTTGTGATTGGTTGCTGTGTAGGTTGTGACTGTAGCTCTACATGTTGTCATTTGGAAGGATAAATAGGTAATTTTACAATTTTAATTTTTTGCCCTGAGATTCATGGAGACTTAAAAAGCATTTGGGAATTTTGAGAGATTTTTTTATAATTATTTATTATGAGACCTGTATGTAATTTTTTCATATATGTGTGTCTGCCCGTTTGGTCACAAGTCGAGAAGCTCTTTATTTCAGCTTAGAACTATGTTTCAAAATTTAAATCTGTTTGGCTGAGCTTTTATTTCATTTTACTTATGGGTCAGAAGTGGGATTCAACGCACGATTTGAATAAGCTAAGCTGAGCTACGTTTTGAGCTTTTGCACCGTGCATATGATGGGAAAAATAACCCCAAAATAATAATTAGAGTGTCAGATATTCTTCTCTTCCTCTTGTACCTTTTCTCTCTACTTTCAAAGCGTGTTTTTCTCCACCATACTCACACTCATTCACTCTTATTCTTATGTTATCTCCGGTTCTTAATATAAAATTCTGTTTAATTTTTATTTTGATTTTAAATATAAAATTTCAATCTATTTTGTTTCTCATATTTATATTTTTTTTTCTAAAGTAGCTCTTCTAATAATAAGAGTTCTAGTTAATGCACTTGATTAGTAAGAATATTTTAGGAAAGACAACACTTATTTAGGATAAATAACTAACTCAACTTACTTTCTTAATTTTCTCAAATTAATCAATTGGCTCTTATAATTAGGACCGGAAGTAGTATTTACATAAACCTTTTTATAAATATTTTTATTCATCAAATTTCTCTTTTTCCTATTAAAATAATTTAAGTTCATTACATTATGTAAATTCATTTTTTTATCATTTTTACTATTTAATAAAAATCATACTTTTTTTTGATAATTTTATAAACTAAAATTTATTTAAATTCATTGTATTATGTAAATTTATTTGTTTATTTTTTATTATCTAATAACACTCATACCAATTTTGGTAATTTTACAAACTAAATTTACTTTTATTTAATTATAATTCAAACAACTTTTTACCCAATCTAATTTTTACAAACTAACTTTTATAAAATCTAATCTAAATACAATTCATATCACCTAATTTAATTTTTATTCCTTCTAATTTTTTTAAAAGTCAAAATGATAATAAACTACTTTTTCTATCAATAGTCCAAACGGGCCCTATATATAGAGTTGGATTTCTCTAGCATTTGATATTTAACTATGTGTATTAAAAAGACCTTTTTAAGAGAGTAGTCATCGTCCCACTTGTTTGATCTGTGTCCCTCAAAAAGACTAGTCTTTGATTGTATATTCTTGATTAGGGGAAAAAAAAAAAGATGAGTTTATATTAATCAAATATTTAGAATCCATGCATGGCGAAGCAAGAAAGGTTTAAATCAATCAATATCTTTCAAATATTAAAAAGATTAATGGTGCAATTGCTGAAATTGGTTCTCCAATACTTCGTTGGAAAATCACATTATTGATGCAATTTCTGATGGGCTTTTCGAGGAACATGAAGGATGTATTTTTCAAGTTTTAAGTGTTTTGGACTGGCCTTTTCCTTTGGTTTATTAGGGATTTTCTCAAATTAAGTTTTTATGTTATCACTCTGTGTTCAACAATTGCAACGAAGAACACCTGAAAAAACGAATAAAAAATTCCTCTTGCACAAATAATCTTGACACGTACGAACGAAGTATATATAATTGCATGCGCGCAGTAAGTAATAAAATGACTGGGATCTTCTCAGAATCCCCCCCCCCCAACCCTAGATCATTATTCTAATATTATTAAAATATAAAGTAATAAACAAGCTTTACCATTAAATAATGGTATAACTTATAACTACTGTTGTCAAACTCGTGAGTTGACTCTCTGAGTTTAATATTTTATATTTTCAACTAATAAAACTGTGTCAACTCGCTCCTAAACTCATGCTGAAATTTTGAATTTTATTATGTTTAATGACTTTATATATAAGTTTTATAGAAATTTATTTGTTAAATATGATAAATTATGAATATTCATGAATATAATTTTAATTATTTACATTTAAAATATATTTAAATAAAATTATTCGCATTTTTTATATATTAATTATTTGATTATATACTTTTAATACTAATTTATTAATAAAAATAAACTCTTACGAGCTTACGATCTGAGTTTACTATCCGAGTTTACATCATTATTACGAGTTTGTTTAAATTCGTGAGTTTGACAACCTTGCTTATAACATTATAATCGGCCATAACATAAGCTAATAAACAAGCATCATCCTAACCATGTCATTTATGCTTCTTTTCCTATTCTCCTCTCCTATATGTTCTTTTTCGCTTTTATTCTGTAGAGTTTTGATTAAAATTTAGGTTCAATTAATATTTTTTATAATAGGATTTTTGTTGCGTAACGTTTAATGATTACAGTTTTTATAAATTCAAAATAATTAATCTAATAAATAATTTTATATTTATATTATTTTTATAAACAATTAGAGTTTAGTGTTTAGAACTTTTATGACAATATTTAAAAATGTTAAGAATATAAAACGATAAAAGTGCAACAATAACCAAATTAAATTGCTTGCAGATAAATCCAGCTAAAATAATTACAGCTAAGAGATTCCAATAATTATGATTAGACTCGACAGTTCAATGAATTGAAATTAAAATTCAAATTATTGAAACTTACTCTAAATTATAGAATATATATATATATGTGTGTGAGATAAACCTTTGAAATACAACATTTGGCTATTTTCCATTTCGTACAATCACCACTAATATCCGCGGAATCTTGATGATCTGCATGATTTGCATGATTTTACGCAGCAGTGTATATTCAGGCAAGCCGGATAAACTTAATTTTAAATAAAATCATATTTTTTGTGACAAACATCTGATATCTAGTTTTATTGACTAATTCATATTTGAGGAATCTCTCAATACGAATTAGTCCCTCTATAAGACTAGCACAATCCAATCATGGCAAGTTAGATAAACATAAACTTTGTCGCGTGTAAATCTGGCTAAAATGTTTACGCATCAATTTTTGAATAGCTTAGCTTATCTTGCATTGGTAACTCTATTTTGTAGTACGTAATATAGGACGTCACATGGAGTTCTGATCTTCCCCAATTTGAGAACTTAATTCAACATTGATAACCTGGTCATGAAGTGTGTCAAGGCAGAAATGATGAAAAGAGGGTTCTCCAGATGGACAGCATGCCCAGTGTTGGGAACCTCAACCACTTCATGTATATTGTTGCATTTTTCCTGCCCTGAGCACATTGTGTTGATCATTGCCGCAGTAATTTTCTTAAATTTAGTATCTTTCTCTCCGTACACGAGCAGAAAAGGCATTCTGCAATTCTTCAAGTCTTCCCACAATGAACTGTCATGCAGGAAGAGAGGAAAACAATGTAAGGAGGGGGGGGCACTTTTTGCAAATATGTCACTACTGAACAGAACCTACATAACTAAAATATGCTTATTAGGTTCCCATAATACACAGTTGCATTGCGCCTTTGAAGTATCAAACACAAGATAAAATTGTCATAGGCTCATAGCTAACTAAATGAATAGTCAGTCAAGGATGAATATGCTTACGGTTGCCTCCCTATGCTTAAGCCAGACAGCATCTTTGCAAGACTCTGCACATCATGTTGCTGTAAGCGGCTTGCAATTATTCGATTGAAATGAGGGTGGCTTCGAAAGCTGTTTGAACAATGTCATTTCAAAATATTGAAGAAAAGGACAGTGATAGCAGTATAATAAGATCAGCAAAATGCCTGAGCATTCCCAATGTTCAAAACAAACAATTTACCTTCTCCACAGCTCTCCTGCATACCAGGATTCAAGAAAAAGTTGTAGCCCATGTGCAACCATGGAGCACGCTCTGGAATCATCTTTAGCTGCACGAATTTTCCTTGCCAATTCATCATTTAACCCAGGGCTCCCGGATACTAGGACAGCTCCTTTAGCCTTCATAAAGATTTAAATTATCAATCGGGCAAACAACTCTAGAGTAGTAAAACACCAGATATAACGCCATACCTTGTAACCAAATTTCAATGCCATGTATAATGCAATCCTTGCTCCCATTGAATACCCAACAAGAGTAATCTTTGCTGGAGTGATATGATGGATTAGCTTATGTAATAAACCAGAAATTATCTCCAGAGATAAGCACGGTTCCTGTCCAGGAATTTTTACAGTGTTTATTATTGATTTTCCATGACCAGGAAGGTCAACTGAGATGCACCTTGCTGATCCTGATACAGCCTTCATGATAGCAATCCAGTCATCGCCAGTCCCAAGAAAACCATGAAGAAATACCAGAACATTATCCTACATTGGATCAATCAGATTGAATCAGCATCAACATGAAAATCTAAGTTTGCTTGCAGGCATACTATGTCCCTATTACTAGGTTTTAATTTGTTTGAAGACAGTGGAACAATCATCTCATAAATTACATCTTAGAAATTGAAAAGATACAATCGGTTAGCAGGCAGAAGATGGGGTTGTATTGATCTACAAAGATAGAGTCACCCATATTCAACGAAATTTTAGCATTATTAACTTTTGTATAGGCGTGTGCAACACTTTTCTTTCTAGTTCTCTAATAAAATCATGTAATTTTTCCAGAAACTCTTTTCAGATATTCAGTCATATTGAACAAAATACAAATAAGAATTAGGAGCCACAAAAGCTAACAAATTTGATCAGAAAATCAAGGAGAAAAATCTGGAAAACAAATCAGGAAAATCATAACAGGCAAAATCTGAAAATATAACCCTAATGTAATCCTCTTAAGAATGGAAATAAATCATAGCAACAAACCAACTAGGAAACTGGGCCTAACACCAGGCCGTAGACTCACCAAACAACATGAGATGTGTATCCCAATCAGCCTGTGAGAAAGTAAAGTTGCAAGGCATGGATAAAAAATATACCCATACTGCTAGTCCATTCATTCAAGGAACCTAGCATGTTTTATTTAGTACGCATGGTTTGGCTTGCTCCTATGAATTTAAGCTCTTGCAGCACAAGGAAACTTATGAAACGAATCGAAAGTGAACACAAAGCAATACCTATTCATTTGCATTGGCTGTTCCATTGATTAAAGTTGGAATATACGCTGCAACTTACTTTATTTTCAATATCTCAAGGAAATTGAACCAAAGCTATTAGCAATATGTATGCAAACTGCTATACTTACATCATTCTTTTGTCCAATCTCCTGAACTCGAAAGAGACAAGAGACATTGTCAAGTTCTACAGTCAGTTGGTATGTATGAACTTGCTCCTCTGTTATAACATTATTGATCACATTCTGGTTGACTCGAAAATTCTTCAACAGTTGTCTAGCATCGGTCACTGATGCTTCAATAAACTTACTGTGTGGATTACGGTCTATTAAAACGGGATTAGTTGTTATGTCTTCCTTAAGCCAACGATAGGTTCCCAGACCATGAGCTACAGATGGGACCACTTTATTATGTGACACTCTGAATCTACTTGCATTTTGCATATCAATATAATGAGAAAACTGCACATATGCAGACAAACTTAGACTGCTTTCAAATGCAGCACTGATAACAGCCATCTTTCCCAGCTGCTGAGCCCATTGGGCAATTAACGCTGCATTCTCAAATCCACCAACGATGCTTGGCTTGATAACCTGAAAGAATTGCAAGTCTAAGAGAGTAGCCATTCTATATTAATGATATCATCAGTGTAATTTTACTAGTTGTCTGTGCACTTGTCACCTCATGCCATTTTAGGGGAACTTTTTTTAGGCAGTACTTAAAATTTTGGGAGAACCTTGAATAGAGGGATGCTCCCTGTACTTAAACATAAGCAAAAAAATGTATCTTTGATCTCTTGGCTGAGGTAAGTTTCACTTTAATACTTTAATTTTATGAAGAATCATGTTAGTATTTTAAGATAAGGCCATAATTTTCCTAATTCTTAACACCCCTAAATAAGTTGAAGGAAAATGATTATTCACATATTTAAAAGCTATATTATTAGTATTATTATATTCTAACTATTATAAATTAGTATGATAATTATAACCAAAATGCTTTTAAGACATTAGAAATTATAGCATTAAAATAAATGATTTTGATTTGAAACATGTTTTATAAGACACCCTAGCCTTGACATAAATAAGTTCTATTTGCGCGTTGTAAATATTTATTTTAAGATGTTAAAATATTTTAAATGTAATAAAAATTCAATTTCTTTTTCATAAAGTAAAAAAAATCAATTTTAATTCTTCTACTTTAGGCTTTTAATTTAAATTTTCCAACATTGCTTAAATAAATAAACCTTATTAATTTTAAAGTTGCAATTCCAAAAATCTTATTAAAATGTTTTAAAAATAATTTATTTTATGGTTTTTATTTTTATGTCATAATCAAGATATTTATTTATTTTTAATATTAAAGCATTAGTTAATTATTTAAAAAATAAACATATTTAATTATAATAATTAGATTAATTAATGCACAATAATTTTAAGAGATGAACTTTGAGCATGTAAGTGATCATATTCCGTTAACTTATTTAACTGTGTTAACTGATAGGAAATTTTTGACTGCCCTTTAAAATAAAAGGACTAACAAGAACTTGATAAAATCAAAGGATTAAAATGAAACCTGCATCAAAGTTAGAGAACATAGTTCACCTTAAATATATAATTATTTGTGCAGGTTAGATTTCTCAGATATTAAAAAAAAAAATTCTAATTAGAGATTGTTATTTTATTATTTTGATTTGGTAAGAACTGGATACTATATAACATGTTGAAGAAAAATGCACATTGACTCACAACAGCCACTATTCTGGGGTGAGAAAACTTCGCCAGCTTTTCCAGATGATTTTCGTGAATGTTATCTATTGTTTCATCCAGGGCAACAGGTAAGCCACTTTCTTCACAGAACTTGAGAATGTCATCTTCATCCTGAACAGGCTCCTGCAAAAGGGATTTAGTCACGAAGAAGTTAAGAAATCCAGTATGATACCATACCAAATATGCACAGACAAATAATTTAGTGGAAGGTGAGGAACAAAAACAAAAGCTGAATGGTGAATCTTAGTATTACTAAAAGAGTCCTGTTTTTGTAGTCTACCTCAATATACTGCAGCTCACAATCCTTCACGAAAGAGCTGAATTCCATGGCTTCTTCATAAGTCCATCTTCGGTTTGCATCTGCACGGATGTCAATGTGGCAACCAACTTTCTTTCTCACTTCTTGTATAATTAGAGCAGAGTGAATAGGGTCGCCCCATCGAGCCACCTGTAATAGCATTACAACTTACAGGCCTTTCATCTTCTAAATTCTTACCAGCCCATTTAGCATGCAGGAAGGAGCTGCAGCATATGAAACAGACAAGCATTACAAGACTAACTTACCTTTAGTTTAATTGCAGGGTATCCTTCCTCAACAAGCGCAGCAGCTACATTAGCCACTTCAGCCGGAGATCCATTTGAATTAAGTAGAGCACAAACCTGAACGTCCATTGAACTTTGATATTTGTTTTTTTCATTCGTCTGGGAGTGCAGTATGTCTAATAAACTGGACCCTCTTGCATTAGCTATGGCATTCAAGATGGCCATTTCCAAACCACATCTGACACTTGGAAAGATAGAAGAAGGCTGCATCCAAGTGCTATAACTTCGTTACGTAAAAAAACCAACCTAAGCCAGAGATTTTTAAACAACATAACAATTGCTACATCCAATAAAAGTAACTTCCTTGCGTTGGGAAATAAGTAAGGCCAGACCTTTAAAACTACATAATATAATGACCATTTTTCCTGTTCATGTCACAAATTGATTTTGTATTGTTCAGGAACCAATTCACTAAATGGTTTTAATTATTAGGTGTAGGTCCAGGAGTGGCTTATAAATCCAACATGCCTTCTCCCACAAATGCCCACAAGACAAGAAGCATGAACTATGGACAAAGTACAGGCACATCAATGTTTCATTGCTGATATTTAATCTTGAAGAGGATTATCATCATGGAAGGGTTTAAATAATCCAAGAAGCTTCCAGTTAGATTATAGGGGATGCAGGTCAAGTTTGACCTGGCCAATACAATCAGATTCAGAATTTGCCCAGCCCGACCTTTTGTCACCTTTTGTACGATTGCTTAGAGATTCATTGGGCATAACTATCCCACTTAGCAACTTCCCCATGGTTCCCTTTGATTTGAGGAGGGGTTGGATGCAGTAAGAAGTTTTATACATTGTTAAGGACCTAGGGCACCTAGAAGTTTAAGCGATTATCAATTGGCCCAGGAATAGCTTTTATACCTTTAATTATATACGCAATGCAGATTAGACAACTTACCAAAATACCCAACTCATTCCATATCCAACGTGAAAATGAGCCCCTCAGTAGAGATAAGAAGCAACTAATTTTAATCCCTTTCATGGCATGCATAAGAAACCTAAGTTGATTTTCTGCATCTTCCAGATTTTCCCTGTGGATCTCAAGAGGAGCAACCTGCTTGATGCAATAGCACATAAGTATATTTTTAGAGAAATTTTTTTTTTTTAAAAAGAATGTGCATCAAAATCAAGAGACGAAAACATTAAATCAATAAAAAAATGGTGCACAAGATAAAATATTAGGTAAATACCAACCTCACCAAAACCCACACTTCCATCTTCAAGAAATAGAGATAAAATAAAGCCTCCTCTATAGAATTCTTTCTGATCGTGACCCAGAGATGTTGAAGTTGGAGGAGCACATAGTGCAATGCTGCCACAAATAATTGCGAGCACATAGTGAGAAATATAAAATACTTGAGTGTCTAACTAACTGTACAATTTGATAACTAACCTATATTGGGAATACTCTATTTTATGCACCTTGGAGTAAAAGAACTCATCTTTTATAGAGCTTTGGCTAAGAGAAGCTGAGAGTAATCTTATTGTGTTCTCTGCTGTCTGAAGGGCAAACTTTCTTAGAATACTGAGTCAGTATGCGAAATATATTAGCAAAAAGGTAGGAATCCAAATAACTCATACTACGTCTGAATTAAGAATTGAAGGACTTGAACCTGTGAAAATTTGCGTTGTGATCAATGGAACTTTCAATTTCAATTAAACAGTCCTTGTCTTCATTTTGTGCTGCAAATAAAGCATCCTCAAGTTCCATCTTTGTCTGGGCATATAAGTGTTTTACGCTGCAAACACATTGATTTTTTTTTTCCAGAGGAAGACAGGACAAAAGATACAGAAACAAAAACATTTATTCCAAGAAATATTTAGATTCTTACCCGTGAGCCAAGCATAACTTTCCAATTGAAATGTTATGAGAGGTGTAAAAATACTGATGCAATACACGAGGTTCAGTTTTATTTGCCAGAGGAAGAAAACTGAAAATTCCACCTCCATGATTGTTTAACACAAGTATTGTCATCGGTTTCCTGAATTTACTGAACATGGAAACATTCAGAATGTCAACACACACACATGTGAAAGGTCATCATAAAATATAGCTTAACAGTAAGTACATTGATAGATTACAGGAAACCTTGCAGTGAAGTAATCAAACATATAAGTTTTCCGTGAGGAGGGAGACCAGATTGAATAATTCGTATTGTTCGTATATTCACACAGAGCATAGGGACACAGCTTTATATGAATTTTACAGAGCAAGAAAAGGAAACGTAATAAAGACATACAACAGCTATATACAACGGTAAAAGAATCAAGGAATAATAAGTAATAAATGATGGAATAAAAGGCATAAAATCAGGAGGGAATAATGAGCATTATCTCCGGGATTTCACATTTTCCCCTAAAATGACATTTAATACATGATCCATAAACCATTAATGATATGAGTAGAGGAGAGAAATTCTAGAATTCATTCAACAAGAGGCAAAGAGACAATCATACAATCTATATACCTCCCTCTAGGCACGTCCTGTCATACTCTCTCTCTTCCCGTAACTAACTCTATGATGTATTACTAATATACGCTCTCCCAGAATCAGGCAAAATAGTAAATACTTAACAGAATATGAGATACTATAAAATAACGTGTATCAATACTCCCCTCCTAAAAATAATCCTTGTCCACAAGGATGGTATTGGCTGGAGGAGCAGTAATCTGAAAGTGAGGGAACTATTGTTGGATGGCTGAAAGGTCCTCCCAAGTGGCGTCTTCAGCATTAGCAAACTTCCAACGAACCAGTATTTGTGTCACTAGTAGGTCATGGCGCTTAACAAGTTTCCGCCCCAAGACTTCCTCAGGTTCTAACATAAAGTGGCCCTGATCATCAATGGGTGGGAAGGTAGCAGCCACCTGGTTAACAGAACCAGCATGTTTCCTAAGAAGAGAGACATGAAAAACTGGATGCACCCTTGTGTGAGGAGGTAACTGCAGTTCATAAGCGACAGGCCCCACCTTTTTGATGACCTTGAAAGGGCCAAAATACCTTGCAGCCAACTTGTGTAGTGAGGAATTATTGATTAAATTCCTCCTGAATGGGTGAAGCTTGAGGTAAACCATATCACCAACCTCAAAGTGGCGTTCAATTCTGTGCTTATTTGCCTGTTGTATCATTCGATGTTGGGCTTTCAATAAGTACTGTTTCAAGATTTGTAGCACCACCTCTCTCTCCATACAAGTCCTGTCGACTAGATCATTAGGAGAATCCCCAACAATATAGAGTAAATGAACCGGAGGAGAAACCCCATAAATAGCCTCAAATGGTGTCATACCAATAGATGAGTGGTAAGTTGTGTTGTACCAAAGTTCAGCAAGTGGCAACCACTTTACCCATTGTTTAGGGAAATCACCAGTCATGCAACGGAGGTAACACTCCAAACAACGATTAAGATCTTCTGTTTGGCCATCTGTTTGAGGATGATAAGCAGAAGAATAATGCAGATGGACTCCATACAGGCGAAATAATTCCTTCCAGAACTTACTGCAAAATACTGGATCTCTATCTGTTACGATAGATTTAGGGAACCCATACAACTTAACCATGTTGTCTAGAAATAATTGAGCCACCTGCACCGCTGTGAAAGGGTGCTTTAATGGGAAAAAATGTGCAGCTTTAGATAACCTGTCCACTACCACCAGAATTGTGGTTTTAAAATAGGAATTGGGTAGCCCACTAATGAAATCCATAGATAGTTCGGTCCAAACATGCTCCGGTATGGGTAAAGGTTGGATTAAGCCCGGTGAAGCAACCAGTTCAGGTTTAAACCGCTGACAAACAGGGCATTCTCTCACATAATTCCTAACATCTTTTTCTGTTCCCTTCCAATAGAAAAAAGAAGAGAGGCGTTTAAAAGTGGGGTGCATACCCGAATGACCACCAATTCCCGCAGCATGAAAATAATTGAGCAAATCTGTATGAAGTCCCTTATCAGCTCCCACCACTAGCTTTCCATTACGTTTAAGTAACTGATGCTGCCAAGTGTACTTAGAGTGGGATAATGAGTCCTGCTATGAGTCTTAACTGTCGAAGCTGATCATCAAGTAACCAAGAGTCGAGCACACAATCATAAAGAGGAGAAACTGGAATTGTGATCGCGAAACAATTCCCTTCAGCCTTCGAGAAAGTGCATCAGCTGCACTGTTGTCACTACCTTTTCAATACACAATCTCATAATGCAAGCCCCATAATTTATGAAGCCATTTAAATTGATCTGGTTTCAAATCCTTCTGTTCTAGTAAGTGTTTGAGGGGCAAGTGATCGGTTTTTATGAGAAATTTCCGACCACACAGGTAAGAACGCCACTATTTTACTGCAAAGATAATGGCAAGTAGTTCCCTCTCATATGCTGATAAAGGTTTCTTGTGAAGGGCCAATGCTTTACTAGCAAAAGCAACAAGATGTCCATTTTGAGAGAGAACAGCCCCCAACCCATGACCAGAAGCATCAGTTTCTACCACAAAAGTGTCATCAAAATTGGGAAGGACCAGTACCGGAGGTGATGTCATAATTTGCTTCAGTTTTTGGAAGGCATCCTGAGCAGCCGTAGACCAACAGAAAGGTGCATTCTTCCTTAGCAACTCTGTTAGAGGCTGACTGAGAGCACCATAGTGTCGTATAAACCGTCTATAATAGCCTGTAAGGCCTAGGAATCCTCTCAATTCCTTTAGAGAAGTTGGTATAGGCCATGAATTAATAGCATCCAGCTTCTTAGGATCTGCTTGGACTCCATTTTCCGAAATGATATGCCCCAAATAGCCGATCTGGATGGCTGTAAAAGTGCATTTGGAAGACTTGGCATACAAATTGTGCTGTCATAAAACAACCTCTAAGTGTTGAAGATGAGAGACCCAATCCCTACTGTAGACCAATATATCATCAAAGAAAACTAGGATGAACTTCCTCAAGAATGCCTTGAAAACAGAATTCATAAGGCTCTGGAAGGTAGCTGGGGCATTTGTAAGCCCAAAAGGCATAACCAGAAATTCGTAAAGTCCTTCATGTGTCCTGAAAGCTGTTTTATGAATGTCATCTATCTTCATTCTAATCTGATGGTATCCAGCTCTCAAATCCAGCTTTGAAAAATATGTAGCCCCCGTCAATTCCTCTAGCAGTTCCTCAATCACAGGAATAGGGAATTTGTTCTTGATGGTGGCCTCATTCAATCTCCGGTAATCAACACAGAAACGCCAAGTGCCCTCCTTCTTCTGGACCAAGACAACCAGAGCAGCAAAAGAGCTAGAGCTTTCCCTTATAATTCCAGAAGTGAGCATTTCCTGGACTTGTCGCTCAATTTCAGATTTTTGGGCAGGTCCATACCTTTAGGGCCTACAGTTGATAGGTCGCTCATGTTGAAGAGGAATGGAATGATCAAATTGGCGAAAAGGGGGACGACCTTTTGGTTCAGCAAACACATCAACAAAGGTCTCTAAGAGATGTCGTAATTCAAGTTGTTGACTTTCAGATAGAGGAGCAGAAATACGTAAACCCAAGTGTAGTTGAGATGAATCTTGAATTAAAAAGAAATGTGTTGCTACTACCAAATCACGAGCAGAATGAATTTCTTCAGCTTGCCCAAGCTCCCTGTAACCTAGGGGTGTGCATGAAGCCTAGATGCCCGGTGAGCCCGCCCGAGCCCGAAGAAAAATTGCCTAGCCAAGCCCGAAAAAAAAGAGCCCGAAAAGGAATGGGCATCTTTAGGCTGGGCATTTCATGGGCAGGGCTGGGCATCGGGCAGAACATGCTGTTCTGCCCATTTGGCCCTGCCCAGATTATATATATTATAATTTATAAAATAATATTAATATATTACATTTCTTTACCTAAAAAAAAAGTTATCTCCCTCTTCTTTGTAATTTAATTTATTATAATTACATGTCTATTAGTTTTCCATTTTAGGGGATCTAATTCTTCTAAAGAAGCAGTAATATCTTGCTTTTAACTTGTTCTTCGTTAGCTTTATTGGGTATATTTTATTGTGTGTTGCTGTTGTAATGTTGGCTATTTATAAGTCAATCTTCCTCTCTATGCCATTAACAACTTTCTTTGTTGGAGAATGGAGTTCATACATTACATATTTGTATAAATCAACAATTTTGAATATTTATGCAAGATAGAAAACAAGATTGGGGTAGGAGCATGGAAAGAAAATTGAGGTTTAATTATCTGAATTACATTTTTTATTTTTTATTTAATTTATATTTAGTTATTTTATATTAATTTTTTATGAACAAGTCATATGATGGAAAGAAGTCTTTTAGTTGTATAGATTGCTAACTGTATTGTATCGCATAATAAGTATTTACATATTAAAAGTGGTTATACTTATTATAAGATTATAAGATTTTTTATTTTTCTTTTTACAATTATTTTCACCATATTTTTATATGGTCTATATTATTCCTGTTAGCCCATTGTTTCAGTTTTAATATCCTTTTGCAATCCTTTAGGTAACATTTTATTTTTGTCACTTGAATGGACAATCAAACTTCTATTACATCATCATCTTTGGCTCCCAATGAAATATCTCAATGTGCTTCAACCCCTCTTTAATTTTTTTAGATGTTTTATTCTTTGCTCAACTTTCTAGAGATTAATGCAAGCCGCTTGAATTTCAAGACTTTAATTACAATCTTGAGAGTCGTTTTGTTCTAAATGGATTATGAATATTATTTATTTGGATATTTGCTAAGACTTGTTTTGAATTATTTCTAGATAATTTTAATGTGTGAAAATATAAAATTATGAAATATAATTTTCAGGTACGGACGAAAGTTTTTTTACATGTGATATCAGTAGGTCATCATCATTTGGGCAGCCCAGCCCGCCCATGCCCAGCCCAAAATAGTTAGGACTTCTATGGGCAGGGCCGGGCAGCGGCCTGCAAAATGCAGCCCATTCATACTTCGGGCTGGGTATCGGGCAGGGGTCTTGCCCTGCCCATGTGCACTCTTGTGTAACCCACACCATGTAATTCGAGTAGTGCCCCATTAACCTTAAATTCAAACAGTTTGGATTCCATATCCATAGAAAATTTTCCAATAGTGCGTAGCCACTGAGTACCCAAGATCATGTCATAACTACCAATTTTCATTACTAAGAAATCAGCTGAGAAGGTGTGATCACCCATGTCCCATGCCAGGTTCGGGCAACATTTATTAACAACTACCTGGCAATTATTGGCTACGGTGAGGGTGACATCATTTTGTTCCTACGGTTTCAGCTGTAGGCGTTTAGCAATAGACACATCGAGCACATTGTGGGTGCTACCCGTGTCCACCAATATAATGACCTGCTGGTTCTTAATTCTGCCCAAAAGCTTCAAAGTGGACCCTCCTTCTTTCACCTCGATCGCATTAATAGTCCCCACAGAATCCGAAGGTACCTCCTCCAGAGCGTCTTCAAAATGCTCGTCATCATCATCCACCACAAGCACGAAGAGGTGCGATTCTTTACACCGGTGGTTACTAGAGTACTTCTCAGGGCACCAATAGCACAATCCCTTGCGTCGCCTCTCATCCATCTCCCTTTTTGATAGCTGCCGTGAAGGTTTGGAAGAACCAGGAGTTGACGGCGATGATGCCATGACTGAGGCAGCAGAGTTTTTAGGCACAGACAACGTCTCGGGAGCTTTGGGCTTCAGAAGTGAAGGAGAACTCGATAATGGGCCTGTGTTGAAGCCCAGTGGAGTAGCTGACTGAGACCCAACAACGTCACCCGGTCCCTTGGACGATGATGGAGCAAATCTATGACCGAACAGAGTTGCAGAAGGAGCATTCTCGTGCAATGCTTTGATCGTCCCTTCCTGTCTACGGGCACAACTCATGGTGCTCGAAAGAGAGGTAGGCTAGAAGTTGATGATGCATTTTTTGATATCTGGACGCAAGCCACCGATAAACAAGCTCATCGCGACCTCCTCAAGAATATCGACTTCAGAGAGCAATTCATCAAACCTCTGCTCGTATTCAAGGACGGTACCGTCAAGTTGTTGCAGTTTTTTAAGGGCAATCGTCGGACTCTCCTCCTGGGCATCGGCAAACTTCAGTTCCATCTGATGGAAATATTCCGACCAACTAATGTCAGAAAAAGCTTGGTGACGCATAAAGGTTTGGTGCCAGCGGAGGGCATATCCCTCCTAGTGGATACTCAATATACGAATACATTGGTCTTGCAGAGTGTTGTTGACGTCAAAAAACTGACAGACACGGTAAGCCCAACCGTGAAAATCAGAGCCGTCAAGCCAAGGAAATTCAACGCGGCTCTGTTTAGTGGGAACGGAGTAAGTTGGAGAAGCATGGGAAACCTCCGCGAAAGACCCAAAAGCCGGGAAGCAAGAAGGAGTCACAGATGAGGCGCCCCCGTCTTCCGCGCGCTTCCCATGATCGGTCAACAGAGCAGAAACCTTCACGACAAGGTCCTTGAAGTATTCTTCAAACTTAGCAGCAGACGATTTCAGTGAAGCTATATCCTGGCCTTGCTGGTCTAATCGATTGTTCACCGAGGCAATCGCAGCTTGCTGATGCTCTAGTTCACCCAGGTGCCCATTGGATCGCGTCTCCGGAGCCATTATCAGAGAGGAGGCTCTGATGCCTTTGATATGAGTAAAGGAGAGAAATTCTAGAATTCATTCAACAAGAGGCAAAGAGATAGTCATACAATCTATATACCTCCCTCTAGGCACGTCCTGCCAGACTCTCTCTCTTCCCGTAACTAACTCTATGATGTATTACTAATATACCCTCTCCCAGAATCAGGCAAAACAGTAAATACTTAACAGAATATGAGATACTATAAAATAACATGTATCAATTAAGGATCAGACTGCACCTTCATCAGCATAATAAGAATGCATTCAGATTTTTATCAACAGTGTTAGGAATGTACATATACTGTTAAAAATGAAACTTGTACATGAGCTCATACCTCTGATTCAAAATTGCCAGACCATTTGTGTCGTGGAGGAAAGAAACATCTCCAATCACGCAAAACACCTAAGGAAATTATGAATATAGCATAACAGTGCAAAGAGAAAGAACTGGTTATTATTATTTGGTGAAAATATTCTTGTGAATGGGAAAAGTTACAAATCTTTCCAAGATACAAGTAGGCAGCAGTGAAAATTGTAGGAATTAGACCCTTTCAGAATCATAATAGCGGATATATAACATGCACACAAAAAGACAAAGATTTTCTGAATATTTAGTATACACAAGCCTTGACTACTAACTGGCATTTTGAATTCAAGCCAATTAAGCACAAATCAGACTCAGAATATTTATAAGCAACATAAAACATATTGATTCAGTTATTCTGAAGAATCTCTCTTCAAGGGGGGAAAACATGACTGGAGTAACAGGGGGAAAATTTTGATTAAATGATAACCTCTCTACAATTTTTCAACACCATTAAGGAGCTTTATCTATAGAACAGTTTACAGAATCATGGGCAAGAACCTCAAATCATGAACTAAAAGAATCCAGGCTTACAATTCAAATGAGTATTTCCACCAATAACAGGTATGCTTTTTACGATGTCACAATTACATAGGACATGGTATTTGTACAGAGTAAGTTACATGTATATGTAAACTTTAACCATAAATTACATTAACGTATATTGTAGATATATCTGGGGAATGAAAAGTTGCATGCTTAAATTTATTCATCAAACATTTTGCCTTCGACAAACCAAAACAAAAATAGTAGAGGGAACTCTTATTTTGGTCCCTGAGAAATAAGTGGAAACACAATGTGGTCTTCTGGAAATTAATTCTTTCAACTTAGTGATTTCCCCTCAATCATTGCGTTGAGCGTGGGCTCAAGTTCACTTATTACAGGAAGAGGCCCAATCTGTGAGTTGGCACAGGCCAAATGAGGGGGATATTCTTGGGATTTCCTGGTGGACGGTTAGAAGGAGAGAAGAGTGAGTATATTGTATGAGGAAAGTGTTGGAAGGCGTGTCAAAAATCTGATTGTCAACTAGGAGAGCGCCTGTGCCTCTCGAACAGATAGGACAGTGTCGTTTTTCTCTGTTTCCTTAGTGTGTAGTTCTCCATTAGACCTGCACTCTGGAGAAACCACACATTTCTGACTCTATCAAGTTGAATACATAGCGACCAAAAGAAAATTTTCAAGGGCTCCATTATTAACTTGGATCCAATCAGAAAAGACCCCATCATTGAATGCCACATATGCTTGTTCTGGTATCATATAATGTTGACAAAGTATCAAACGCTGTTGCGTGAACTTTACTCCATTGGAAATGTAATTTATGGACCTGTCACTGTTATTCACTCTGTAAAATGTGTTAGAAATTAAATATTGTAAGCAACCTAACTGCTTCTAACTAATCATTTCCCCCATCTGTAGCTGATATACAGGAGTTTGCCGTGGTGCACTAGGCATTGATTGGTTGTTGCCATTGACAACAGCACCTTTCTACGCCAAAAGAGATGCCAGGGATTTGGTTGAGAAGGGATTAGAAATAATGAATCCTATTAAGGTTATTATTTCAAAATATCATTGTTTTCAGTCCATGATACCTGTCACCAAAATAAAATCATAAAGTTGAGAGGCGCTGAGTAAGGGGAACGAAAACTATTTAATATATTTGTGATGCACTATTTTTACCAATTATTCCTATCCTAGGTTAGTTTCAGATATTATATCTTCTGTTAACGTTATTATATCTTGGAAGATAAATCTAAGATATTAGGAATTAGCAAAAGACTTGGCATCTAAGATCGTAGGATAAGGGTTAGGTGACTGTTTGTATTAAGAACTTTTGCATTTCGTTTTTATCTGTCAAATAAAGCTAACAGAGGCGAACTCTGCAAATAACTTTACGATGAAATGAAGCACAGGACAAAAACATCAATCACTATTTTCATAAATATGAGATGTTACAGCGCATGAAAAGACACAAGCACTGAAAGAACAGTCCCCGAAACAAAGTTAAATATATTTTTAAGGGAAAAATACCTTTTTGTTGCATCCTGCAGCAAAGCCAATGGCTGTGCTAAGTAGCCCATCAATGCCACTAGCCCCTCTATTGCCAGCCACCCTTATCCAGCTAAATGGTAAGTCTGAATTTAACATGAGAGACGTAGCACTTTCATTGCATATCAACTTACTATGCCCATACATATCTGCATCACGTATTGGCATGCTGTTCCCGAGAAAGAGAGCAGATTCAGAGGAAAGAGCTTCGGACATTACATGAGCAACATGAGGTTCTGTCAGGGAACACTCAATACATATTTGAAACTGTATTTCCCATTCAACCTAACAACTAAGAAGTTGTTAGAGAAATCAGATAGCAGAGACGAAAAAAGGGAGACTGAATAATAATCCAGACCACCAGTTAGACTGAAAAGGACGTCAAATTTAAGATTACCAAACAATTAAGTCTGGAATTACTGATTGGAAACTTCAAAAAGGAAACATAACAGAAATTTTTCAAAGCTTAGCAGCCATGTCCATCTCCAACATTATGTAATCATGAAATTTTAATTTGATAAGCTTAATATGTGATTAAAACTCAATACATGGTCTCTTACCACCTCTCACTAAATCCAAATTCAAGGGGCTTCATATCACTATTGACATAATTGAGGACTTAATTGTCACAAATCACACTATTAATGATGAGATTTAGCTTGGTCAAACCCTATGGACATAAGAACACAGGTGCAACAGTATCTATGATTCTCAACGCAAACGAAGGGTAATTCCACACTAGTTGACAAAGGGACGTATCAAATCTTGACAAACTGAGGTGAGAAGCCAAAATAGTGCCTGGAGCTGAATTTAGATACGTGGATTATTAAATTTGTGAAGGTAAGGGTATATGGTTAGGGGAACTTAAACTCTGGACTTTAGCATCCATGGAGTTATTATGTGACCATCAAGCACAAATAGAGATTGTAAAGAAGCTGGTCTATCATGACAAAGCAAAACATCGAAATTGATTGGCATTTTATCAAGATTTTTTTTTTTTTTGGGTGGCGGTGTCATTGAAAAGAAGCAATAAAAATGGCATTATATAGAACCCAATCTATCATGACAAACCAAGCATATTGAGATCGCTATTTTATCAAGAAAAAAAATATGAAATTAAAATCACTGAGCTAATTTACAGACCTAGACAATCCCAGACAATTGATATTTTGACCAATGTCATTCAAACTCCAATTTGATGTTCACTTATCCAAGCTAGAAACATTTGACGTTCACCGCCCAACTTAAGGGGAAGTGTTAAATTCCTAAATTTTCTTTGGGAATTTCAAGGATAATATTTTAAGTAACTTGGACCCAAAAGAGACTATTTTAAATATCCTTAAGCTGTTGCCCTATAAATAAATGTTCTAATTGCTTGTAGATACACACAAAGATACTCATTACATAATAGAATACAGTTCTTCAAGGTGAAATGTAAACTAGACAACATTTTGACTGCTCAAATTCACACCATAATATAATTTGAAACCATATTAAGCTCCAATGGAAAGACTACTGCTAAAACACATCCATTTGGATTTTTAAAAAATATCATCATCATAGCAAAAGCTCTAAACCGTCATTTTTTGGAATTAGTACCATCTGACTCAACACTTGTAAGGAAGTGGCCCACTTGCTCCTTGAATGAGGAACTCTAGCCTTTAGTAAAAAATCCACAAAGCCAATAATGGAACTTTGTACACGATGTGTCACAATATGTGAAGGATCCTGACGATTTGGGTTCTTGTCAACCATAATATATGAAAAAGGGACACATTCATCAAGCATCTGACAGATTCGTTTGCTAGTTATTCTACTTCCAATCTGTTTCAAATACAAAAAAGGAGGGTCATGGAAGACAAGTAGACAAGAATAATCATGAGAATCAATATATATGTGCAGAAAAGCACCCATTGAAAGAATTAAAGAAGATATGTGAACAACAAGAGAGAAAAAGATAGAACTTCATTAATAGAATATACCTGAATAACCACATCAATCTCTAACCATTCTCTGACAGACTTGGAGAACAGAGCATGATCAAGATGATCAACAAATATAAAGTTTCCTTCAATATCAGGAAAAGAAGTGAAATGCTTTCTTAACCGCAGTCCAGAAAGGATATCTGTCACAACAGGCCACATGAGGTGTTTAACCAAATGAAGAGCAGCCCATATCTCATCCTCCGTATGGATTGCACCAATGACAAGAAGGCCACTTTTGGCCCTTTGAATCAAATTTAAAATGTCAATCAATTGGCCAGTTGCATTATTAAATCTACAAGACTGCTGCATATGAATGTACTTTGTATATGGTTCAGCATTAGTGATCCAAAAGTCTAAGCCTTTCAAACAGCTTGATTTCCATTCACTGGGACTGTTTTCCAATGGTTCTCTGAAAGGGCAGTTAATATGGACTGGACCACATGGCGTAGCAGTAGCCCAGTGAACAGCAGAATCCAGTGTAGTAAGTACCATCTTTGCTGGAATCTGATCCGTGGGAGTAGGAAGATTGAAGAAATACCTCACAAAAGAACCAAAATGGTTAACCTGCAAAGAAATTTAAGAATGTGTACCTTCAGTAACCAACACAAACATGAATATTGATATTCCCTAGTTCAGAGCAACTAATCTATGTGTCAGTGCAACTGAAAAAAATAAAAAATAAAAAGACCTTAAATGTCAAACCTACACTTTCTGTTAGGCTGTTAGCAAATCAACAATAGTAAAATATGTTTGGAAACAAGAATTTGGACTGCAGAAACAAGCTTCAATTTTAAATTGACAAAATATGGCAAGAAGTAAAAATGGAATGAAGTAAAAGTCAAAATGGTATGTCATTCAATATTATATTACAGTAAATAAATTAAATGCAGTCTATTCTTTTTAGGTCAACGAATATATAAAATGCTGAGGACATAAACCATACCACTTTCATCATCAAACCACAAGCAAGGCCTTGTTTGACAATAATATATAGTAGGACTCTAAATATCAGCATTTCTTAAAGGCCCCAGGTTCAGGTCCAATAGAGAGTTCATGAGGCAGATTTAGTGAAGGCGGATATGCTATCCTCGTCATGTAGCATCCAGCAAACCAGGAAAAAAAAATCAATAAATGTCACACTAAAATAAGAATATCCATAGCTTTTACCTGAAAAATTGCTTGGTTTGCTCCACATTCCTGCAGCTCTGGAGGTCGATCAGCTGTAAGTAAAATAAGTGGTACAAAATCTTGACTAGCCTCCACAACCTGCAAGTCATTAGTAGTCTGATATTATTCTAAGTAATCAAAATTCAAAACCAATATTCGTATCTGAATCTATTTTTGTTTTGGCCAGAATTTGTATATGAATCTCAACAAACATGGATAGCATATTCCTCAAGAAATTTTTTTTTTTTTTAAAAAAAAAAGGATCATGGATGGAATTAGAATACCCAGAAAAGGACTCAGCCTCCCTCCTGAGAATAATTATATAGTAGAACTCTTCAACAAGAAATGCTTTGATGGAAGTCCATAGAATGAAAGGCCAAGATGTGAAATAAGATCATAATGATTTAAAGACAGCAAAAAAATTGTTAAATATTGTAATAAATATAATTATTGTAATGATTCCTAAAATTTCTTGTAATTATTAGTTGACCCTTGTTTAGGGATAGAATCAAGGGATTATCGCTAATACAAGGGTCAATTAATAACTGCAATAAATCCTATGTCATTACAATAATTATGATATCTAGCATAAATCAACATCATTAAAAAGTTGATTAAACTCACAGCAGGAAGAAGATTTGAAACTGCAGTCCCTGATGATGTTATGACTACTGCTGGAATGTGAGATCCTCTTCCATATCCAACAGCGTGAAACGCAAGAGAGCGTTCATCAAAACATGAAATACATGTGATTAATGCATGACTCGATGCAGCAACAGCAAGAGGAGAAGACCTTGATCCAGGTGCTATACAAAAATACTGGAACAAAAAACAAGTCAGAATGTTGCACCATAACGGTGATAACTGAATCATAGTTATTCATCACATCACTTACTCTCAAACCAAGTCGGGAGCATTCTTCAATAATTAGTGATGCCCAAACAGAATTGATATTGGCACTTTCTTCCGGTGAGTAAAACAATTTATCTGCTTGATCTAGCTGATAGTAGAAAGAGACACAACCTGAACAATCTTCAGCCAAGTTTGATCCTTGTAGCATTCTTAAACTAAATCACCTATGCATTTTGTAATAAGATAACCTATAAACTTTAAAGTTGATATGTTATTATTAGCCCAACAACAATATGAAGAGTCAAATTATTTGCACTAGTGCAGTAGAGCAAATTGCCAAATTTTAGTAAGTACAGCTGTACAGACACAGATAAATCAAAACATACCACGCTGCACTTGTCTTAATAGATTCAAAATCTTGAACAGCTATCATTACTGAGTCACATATGATATATGTAATAAGTATCCCAGTAAGATGCAGCTACAATCTGGTTATGATGTTAGGCAAAGTTGGGAGCTCAACAAATTGTTAACAGTTTACTATTGCAGCTAAAGATTGCAAACTGCATCGCATTGGCCTATTAGGTTTGACAATGGCATGTCGTTTAGTTCTTTTCAAACTATAAATGGCAATGTGTTGGGCACCCAAATGTAATTGGACCTTTCCAAAAGACTAGTCATTGAGGTGGGGAAACCGAAAACCAACCCACTTAAGGTACCTATACTCAATCTATGCTTTTTTATGAGTAAGCCAACACAAGAATACATAATTACATACCATGTTAGTGGCAAAAGCAACAATTGGTGAGAGTCTGAAACAGAATTGAGCTGAAGATGGAGACTCTTTCTGAAAAAAGAAAAAGAACAGTTCAACTATGAAGAGAACTCGGAATGTAAGTAAACCAGAATCAATGAAAAAATAGAAGACAAAAAATTTACCAGGAAAAAGTGCATACCAGTTCCATGATGTCAGCCATGCTTTCCCTTCCTCCCGGTGCAAAAGAGTTCATGTATACCTAGCAAATTATGTCAACCAGAAAAAGAGCAACAAACAATCAATAGATATAGGCTCTCGGATACAATAACTTTCACAGAAGCAATTTTACAAGTTAAAAAAAATAGATATCAGATAAAAGCTCACCAAAACATTACAGATAAAAGAAGATAGAAAATTGGATCCAAATATCACCTAAGATCAACCCCAGTCGGCTGAAGGAAGTGATACCATGTACTCTAACCTGGTTGCAGTTCATTAATATTAATCCTATATATGAACCACTGACCACCCAATTGCCAGTCTTGACCTTTCAGGACCCTTAATATCCCTAACGCAATTAGCAATAGGGAAAAAATCGGATCCTCAAATTTGAAATAATGAAGAAACAGGTGCCTTAAAAGCAAAGAAACCCGTCTAAATTATGCCTAGATTCAATGATCAAGGAGAAAAAGGTGAAATATTCATCCATTTAGGTGAGTTCTGATGCCTTTCCTTTACGTATTTGGAAACCAACCAGCTTGAAACAGCTCTGATTGAGCATAAAACAGACGTTTAAAGGACCAACAGAAGTTTATCACTGTCCTTGTCATTCTAAGAAAGAGTCTCAGAAAAAATTAGGATTATCCAATATACAAATGCTAGAAACAGGAGCGTTATGCAGAGAAAATAACCAAAATGACATGGAAAAACCATGGATGAAGGAAGATTAACACCCAAGTAAACTTCAAAAATAAGAGAATGCACATGCCCTGAGTAAAAGAAAGAAATTGGGGAAAAAAAAAAAAACAGATTATTCCAACTACATTCTATCATCGTGTTATACATATCACTGCCATGCAGTTGCCACACCTCATACTAAGCAAGATTCAGACACAATGGAAAGTACAACTATTTTCTGGAAAAGGAAACGATGTGCTGTGCATTAGCAAAGCCACGGAATAAGCAATGCAAAAGACAAGCAAGAATAAATTATAAGCATAACTGCCAAACATTGCACTTCAAATAATAAGAGTTCATTCTTTCAGGAAAGAGAGAACAATACCCTCGGAATAGATCTGTTTTCCACCAAACTGAATTTTCTAAGTGCAGATGTTGTACAGTCGGACTGCCATGTGTCAGTAGTGGGACAGATATGACGAGATAACTTCACAAAAAAAGATACATCACCAATGAGAGTTGAGAGATACAAAATGAAGAAAAATTAAAGGCGGTGAAAGATAAACCCAAATTGTAGTTTAAAACTTCATATTGGTAGCAACGTGATCTAGACTAAAGTCTTGACATTCTTTAAGATATAACTAAAACAAAAACCTGAAAGATATGACAAAGGCAAGCTAAATACCTGGTTAAGGGAAATTTCAAGGGAATGAAGGGCTTCTTTGAATGTGGGGAGGGAAGAGTCATCCCATGCAAGTGTTGATGTCAAAACGGAAGCCATATCCTGCTCATCCAACTCAATCTGTAATAACAACAGTTACTGTTTAATAGCTAGTGAATATAGGAATGTTAAGAATGAAATCAGAAGAAATAATTAATAACATATAATTTGAACTGATGCCTATGTCACTGACAATAAATTCACCTGAGGGACAAAGAAGAAAAAAGAACCATCCTCATGATTCACGGAATCTGAACCTTGATTGAAATTAATATCCATAAAGCCATAAGCCACTATCATGGTTGAATCACTTGAAATATATCTACAGGTAATTGAGTACATTATTCAGTCACTTCATAAGAAGTCAAGACCCGGTTTAACAGAAAATCGTCCCTATTATTTGCATGTAAATGAAGTTCCTTCACAAATGAATGCTGAAAAAAGAAAACGGAAAGACGGTAGCTTCTTCACATAGAGATTTTCAAACTAAGTTAAAAGCCAGGTAGTACAAAACCTGTGCTTGTCGTCTGTACTCAAGCCTATATGCAAAGAAATTAACCGCCAACAAGTTGGGATTTTCTGTGCGATTCTTTCAAACTAATAAAAACATTCCACATATCCCCAACCCTTCTTGAAGCCACAGGCTTGCTGATCAGATCCACGTCGTCATATTCCAAACATACATGCTCAAATTCCTCCCATGATTCATTGAAAAATAGAATCTACAACCAAACGAAGAGAAGAGTTCGGATTTCTGTAACCTTTTGAACAAGCTTTGCATTCCCGTGTTGAGAGGAGAATAACGAGTAAAAGAAGCGGCAGCACCAATTCCAAAAACTCCACGGCGACCATTCACATGCAGCGACTTACACGTTGGATTATCTGAGTTCTTGGAAAGATATATTTGAGGAAAAACTCCAGATGACTCTGGCTGACAACAAAACCAACTTAAAGCCTTCGGACCTGGAGGCACGGCCACCTGAAAATTCACATCCACATAGCGTGATTTAAAACGTTGCGTCACTGCAACTAAACAGCCACCATTGGAAAACAGAATCTAAAGACACAGAGGAACTAGTTAACCATACCTGAAACCTAAGGAATCCACTAGAGCAACAAGGAGGATCCAACCTTAACGTTTGCACAGCCTCCTTAATTCTTTCAAGTCCCTCCTCCAATGTCAATGCCGGAGACAATGTTCGCATAATGCAATTCTCAAAAACCAAATCAATATCCCCATTGTTTACAATGTCATCCATACAGATCATCGGGCCGTCGAACTTCACCCCTTCCACAAACTACACATACAGAAAACTCGGCAATAAAAAGAGAAGCCAAAAAGACTGCAAGTACACATGAACAGAGAGAAGAATAAATATCAATAGCACCTCATAAGTTCGTTTTCGGCAAAGAAGCTTGAAAGAGCTAGAATTTCTCCTCAGAAATACTATAGCCGTTGTCGAAGAACTTGAATCCGCAAATGAGATTCTGGTGCGCTTCGAGAACGTAGTTACTGATGAGAAACCATTACCAAATGACAATGCGCGATACCTCATCTCGATAAGATGAGAACAAGGAAAAGAAGGAATGTGCAATAAGGAACGCTGCTATCTGAATGTACAGAGCGTGGGAGTTCGGTAAGACGACACGACGAGTGAGCCATGGATAAGGTCAGCGCAGACAGAGTGACCCGCCAACTTGATGCTATTTATATTCAAGAATTGCATGGGGCAATAAGTTTGGCTCACCTATGACCTATCCCACGCTCATGGAGTCAGTTTAGATCCAAAATTACATTGCCTTGGGTGAAAATGGCTTAAAAATTGGGGGGAAAATTAGCTCTTTTTTTTTTTTTAATTTGAACTTTCTAATATAAAATTTTCATATATTATCCAAACAAGTTTTAAATTGAATTTTTTTAGAAAAGTTTAATTTACTTAAATATAAATCATATTACATTATTTGACCTTTATTCTATCTTCAATTTACAAAAAAATTAATTAAGATAAAAGTCGTCATTGTGAAAATCGTACATGTGAAATTATCAAAAGTTTCGGTATTCCAAAATCACCAAATTTCAAGCTCTAAAAAGACATACAATCATTGAACTACTAAAGCTTGTGGATAAAATAGGGCAAAATAAATAATATTACCTTCGGTTCTTAATATAAGATTTTATTTGACTTTTATTTTGGTCCAATTATAAAACCACAATCCACTTTGTCTCTCATATTTATGTATTTTTTTTTCTCAAGGTGGTCTTTCTAATAATAGTAGTTCTAGCCAATCAACTTAGTAAGTAAGAATATTTTAGGAAACACGGTATATATTTATTACAAATAATCAACTTAACTTATTTTCTTAATCTCCTCAAATTAGTCAACTAGCTCTTATAGTTAGGATATGAGGGAGTATATATTTATATATAAAAGATAACTATTCAACTTTGAGATGTATGAAACAATAAGACAACTATAATAGCAACAATTAACTAGAGAAGAATCATACCAGGCAAGCTTAATCATAAATAACTATAATAGCATAGCAAGTAACAACAGTTAACTAATAAATGACCATATCTTCTAAGCCAGTGATCACTTTTTTCCCAAACATAAATTTCATCGTGAATGATTATAACAGCGTAACAAATAACAACGATTGAATAATGAATAACCACATCATTTGAGTAAGTGACCACAATTTTCACAAAATACAAGTTTCACAATAAATAACTATAATAACAACTGGCTGGCAAATGAACATTTACTAGGCCAATATGCCATTTGCTTACTCCATCCCAACCAGGCTCTCATGTGCACTTTGATTCCATCATGTCTTTGAAGAAATAAAAGTTCGTTTAATTAGTAAGGAGTTGATTTATAACCCACCGGCTCATAAGTTTGAATCCCGTTATCCATGTAAAAATTTTATTGATAATTAATTTATAAGTATTTCTGTAAATGCTATTCAGCCTAGAGGCAAGTCCTGTCCTAGTGAGTCCTTGTAACCAAGCTCACCTAAATTTTTTTATTAAAAAAAGAGAAATGGGCATTGCACTTTACTTGATCTAGTTAATTATTGTGATTAATGCACAATAGAATCCAACCGCCTTTGGAATTGCTCTAGGAATTGGGCGATCAAATGTGCATAGTGATACCATCCCAACTTCTGATTGTGGAAGGCATTATAAATGATGTATCTACAAGGCTTCTGAATTATATGGCCCTAACTTTATGGGGCCTGAGCTCCAACAAAACGTGAAGCGAGGCGAGGCTCTGGGGGAATGGCAATAAGGCCACTTTCTAGAGCGCATAAGTGATACCCAAAATATCACCACTCACCACTAGTTTCCTAAGCTTACCAGTAAAAATTGGGTCTAATAAAAATGATTAGTCCTTTATAATGTGATGAATCAAAATTTGTCAAATATTATTGCCACATAAGAAATACATTTGTGATATAAAAAAAGATTATACAAAAATGTTTCGTGAATTTCAATTAAGAGGGAAAAAAAATAAACATTACATGTTCAAATTACGTGATGATATAATGCAATTATTCAAATATAGTGAAATAACAGATTGATATATTTACAAGAGAAAAAAAATTTAGATAAATTTCCTTATATCCATCATGTTAAGCTGTTCTGTCACACATGGTTATGTGTTCTTTCTTTCTTTCTTTTTTTCATTTGGATATGTAATTAAATGCTACTACCTCCATTCTTGATTATAAGTGCTTGTTTGACTTTCAATTTGATCCTATATGTAAGGTCCTAATCCCCCTTATCTTTTATATTTATTCATTTTTTAAAATAATCCTTGTAGTAATTGCACATATTAAATGTTTTATCAAATAGTAATTCTAACTAAGATGCATGATTAGTAAGGGTATTCTAGGAAAGATAACACCTATTAATAACAAATAACTAATTTAACTAACTTTTTTAATCTCTCCAAATTAGTCAACTAGATCTTATATTAGAGACTGGATGTAGTATTCAATACTACTCTTTCGGTCCTTAATATAAGACCTATTTAACTAATTTGGTTAGGTTAAGGAAGTTAGGTAAGTTAGTTAATTATAAGAAACATGACATGTTTTTTTCTAAAACAAAATAACCATCTTTCTTAATATCCTTCCTCCTTCACTTACTTGATTATAGTTGAGGAAGTATCTATAGGGATAATTTAAGAAAAATTGATAGATGTTAGAAATAAGTCTTATATATAAGACCAAAATTAACCTAACAATTAGGTCCTATATTAAAGACCGAAAAAGTAATATTTTAAAAACCGGAGTCTGGATACATGATCATATGTGATAGACAAACTTAACACAATAAATATAATAAACTTGATGTAAGTTTCCAAGTAAAAATTTAAAATCTAAGATGAGTCATGCAGAATATTATTTAATTAATTAAATGCTGTATAAATAAAATACGTTGGAATAAAATGCCACATCAACAAACTCTTAGCCAATGAGACGAGTGTAAAACTTATGCCATGGCAAGAAATCAAAGTCAAAGGTTATGTAAAGCACAACTTACACACGCCAAGCGCAAGCTTTCTTTCATCAGGCCCTAATTCCAAAACTACCTCTAAATCACACAAAAATTACCACATTACCACGTTTTGAAACCCAATTATCTCAAGGGTAAAATAGGAATATAGGAATTTTTCAAATTTTCTTCGTCTTCAAAGATTCGGAGATGGTGGTGACTGGTAATACCAGATTTGCTATAAAATCCCATAACTGAATTGCCGTCACGCAAAAGGAAAAAAGAAAAACTAACAGAGAAAGTTATTATGGCTTCACAGTTATTACTCACCATCGTCTTCTTCCTTGTTCTCTTCTCCACAGTGTCGTCGAGTGTTGCTACGTGCGAGTCGAAATACGAAGCAACATGCCATGACAAAAAGGAAGCGTTGAAGTTCAAGCTTATAGCGATATGTTCCATATTGATCGCTAGCATGATTGGCGTGTGTCTCCCAATTTTCTCACGTTTCGTTCCGGCGCTTAAGCCCGACCGGAATTTGTTTCTTCTGGTGAAGGCTTTTGCTTCCGGCGTCATTCTGGCGACTGGTTACATGCATGTTTTGCCAGACTCGTTTGATGATTTGAGATCTGAGTGTTTGCCGGAAAACCCTTGGCATAGGTTCCCGTTCACTACATTTGTGGCAATGCTGGCCGCGATTTTCACTCTCATGGTGGATTCATTCTCCATTGGCTACTTCAAGAAGAAGATGTCTAATAAAGCTAGTGAATCAGAAAATGTTGGGGGAAATAAAGCCAATGAATCAGAAGAATTTGACATTGGTCACGGACATTGCGGAAAAGAAACTTTAAAGATCATTGAGGGGCAAGAACAGTTATTGAAGTACCGTGTTGTAGCTCAGGTAAATTACATGAATCTATTGCTGTATGTTGATAAATTATTTAAGCCTCTGGGCTTTCCATAGACGGAAATTCCAGTTCCCGCTTCTGGGTTTGTTCATCTTGATTGAATTTCATCTGCCGTTTAATTCCCAAAACACCAAATTAATAAACTATATTGAATGTAATGATCAATGCAGGTGTTGGAACTAGGAATTGTGGTGCACTCAGTGGTGATTGGATTATCAATGGGAGCTTCAGAAAACCCATGCACAATCAGGCCTCTCATTGCTGCACTCTGCTTCCACCAACTGTTTGAGGGAATGGGCTTGGGTGGCTGCATACTGCAGGTGATCTATCTGGTTCATGTATTCCCTAACAATTCAACACATATGAGCCAGTGGCATGTTAGAGACGCGAGCAGAAATTCAACACAAAAGACTTCATTAATAGCAACGTTTTTATCCAATGATCAAGTCATTAAATGGCCATTCAGCAGTGAGGAATTTTGATTTTTGTCATTGCAAGTATATTAACTGTTTACTTCTGAATGGGAGAATTTGAGTGGGGGAAAATCACCAACTCTTTGGGCTATAACACTTGCTATTTAACATTATAGAAGATATGCAAAGGATGATTATGTGTAGTTGGCAAATTAAATATGAACTGTAGAAAGGTCATCACTTCCTTGAATTGGCTTGCTCAACAGGCACATGATATTGATGTGGAATTTGTTACCCTGACAAAACCTCCACCATCCCGTAGAAAACTTTAAGGACTGTAATTTTCAATTTGGGCATAATGTCCTTGCAGATGCTCCTTAAGATTCTTTATTGGCTGTTGCCGCTACCCCTGTATTTCAAAAAAATAAAAAAACATATCTGATCTAGTTCTAGTTATTGGGATTAACAGTGTATTATATTCTGTGTTGTTACAGGCTGAATATGGATACAAGATAAAGGGCATATTGGTTTTCTTCTTCTCTGTGACAACCCCATTTGGGATTGCTTTGGGAATTGGGCTATCAAATGTGTACAGTGATACCAGCCCAACTTCTCTGATAGTGGAGGGCATTCTAAATGCTGTATCTGCAGGGCTTCTGAATTATATGGCACTTGTGGAACTATTGGCGTCTGACTTTATGGGGCCTAAGCTTCAACAGAACATGAAGCTCCAGATTTGTTCGTATATTGCCGTTTTGTTAGGTGCTGGAGGAATGTCATTGATGGCAAAATGGGCTTAGGGCGTAGCAAGTGTTTTTTCCCCCCCCCCAATATGGCCACATTCTTTTTGCTATCCAAAAGAAATATGGCACATTGTATGGAAAAACGCCCCATGTGAGGTCTGCTTTGGGAAAGAAAAAAGATCAACGGCCATATCGTCAGAGACTTTCCTTTTGGTTCTCTCCATGCACATGATATTTTGAAAGAAAAAATGACAGACTTATAAAATAGAAATGATTTGTCTTAGTTATTATAACACGTATGCTAACTGAAAGAAGTAGCTTTTGTATTAAAGATAAGATAGAGTGCAAAATAACAAAGCCCATACAAGATTTTATATGGATAACCTATTTCCCCACTTATTAAATTGCCTTGGAACACAAGTGAATTCAAATCCAACTACAAAGTTTCTTTAATAGATCTGAAGTCATTGATATTGAAAATACAAATGTTCCACACACTCATTGCCATGTCCACATAGAAAAATAATTCAAATCATTCACAGAATATGAAGATCAAGCATTTATATTCTGGTCTCACTTTTACTCTATGAAATTTTTTCCCCCATTTCATAGAAGCCGTATAAGTTCAAAAATTTCACCTTTTAAATACGCCCCCTTTTTGTCTATTTCACTCAAAGATTATTTGCTTTGTACCCAAGGTCCCAAGTCTGCTTGGAAATTACTGTCTCTTGACAAACATCCCTTTTTTTTTTAATCTCGAGGCCATCTTTTTTTTTTTTTTTTGCAAGCATATCTTTTCCCAGTTTAATTACATGAAGTCATAATTCGACCACTCGGCCAAATTCAAATTTACTTTAACAAAAGATGGCATGAAATTATTTGTTTTCATATGATTTTGATCCGAAGGGTCTTTCAAAGAATTCCAAATTATTTTGTTCAATGAATATATAAACCAATTAAAACTAGAAAATTAGAATTACATGGACGATTCCAGATTCAAGTTAGTGGAAAAATAATTTGCCCCCCTCTATTTATGTATGCACACACACACACACACAATAATGGTTTTCAATAATGTTGAAAAGTTGAAGCTCATGGGTAATGACATAATTTGCTAATTATATCGTAATCAGAAAAAGGGTACCTTTTTTTTTAAAAAAAAAAGATGTAATATGGATATTGTTCAAACTGGATGCTTTCATTATCAAATTGTTGAAAGTGGATCAACTATATATATAATGAGACATGACTCACAGATAATTGGGAGTGGACTCTCAAATAAATTTCTGATCTCTTTCATTTTCTAGAAATTCTTTTTGGGCAAATTTACAGTAAAGGGGTTGATTATTTCAACCACTTTGGTCACGAACAAGTGATAGAGGAACCATAAAGTCTCCAACAATTCATCAAAGAATAATAATTAATAACACTATTAAGCCACTTAATTCTATTGGGTACTTGGTGGGGACTACATATATAAATGGCCCTAAAGTAAAAGGAATTTGATGAGACCCCATGGCAAGACGACAAGAGTGTAAATAAATATTGTGAATATATAAAAATAGTATTTACAATTAATTGATAATTTAAGAATGTAAAATAACCTTTAGAAATTGAAGGAGTATAAATTACAATATTTTATAATTGAAAAAAAAAAAATCAATACTAAACTATTTGATATCCTCTAGTCTAACTTAATTCTAGCTAACAAATGTCAAATAATTTTCCTAAAATACCCATAAACAACACTAGATGATTATATCTGTTTATATGTTAAATGAATTATTTTAGATAAAATGATAAATATTAGAAATAAAATGAATTAAGATAGTATATCTATCTAGTATCAAAATTAACTCATTACCTAGCTTATATATTTAAAATCAGAGGAATACTTATATAATTGACCTAAATTCAAGTCAGGTCGAGTTTTGAATAAAAAGCTATTTTGTCAACATGATTTTTTCCCCTTAAATCAAGACTTGAACTGAAAACTTTCTATCATCAGATATTAAGTTTCTTTTTGTCAACCTAACCAATTTTGATTGAATTTGTACCACAGAAGCCCTACTAAATGGGGTTTATGGGAGAGGAGAGTAAGTGACAACACATCACAAAGACAAGACACTAAAAATCAAAAGCAGGGAATGCAAAGAAGCCTCATAATGTGGGATTTACTTTGTTCATGGTTTATGGGAATGCCCCCTGTGCCCCTCCTCCATTCACAAATGGCCAAACTTAGTAGGCCTCATATGTCTCCTTTCATTTCATTCTCCAATCAAACCATCACTCATTGCCCCTCTCTCTCCCCCCCCCCCCCCACATCTCTCAATATATTTCTCTCCCCTCTCCAACCATTTCACAAGCTACTCTCTCCTTTTCCTTCTTGTTTCTTCTCTACCATAGCCAATATTCAAATTTAAAATTCAATATTATATGCATATGAAGAATTAACCCTTTCATATTATTCATAGGGTCTTATGATCATGTTACTATACTGTTTTTGAGTTGTACCAAACTTCTAAAAGACAATGGAATAATATAATTTTCAAGGAGTGTTTGGAATCAGCAAAAAATGCTTTTAAAAAGTTTTCATACAAATCGAGACAAAACTTCTCTCACATTCTTATTTCATATGCCATAAAATTACTTTTTAAAACGACTATTTGATTTCTATCTAAACACCCCTTAATTTCTTAAATTTAACCTCATTTTGATTTTCATCCTAAAATTTTGACTTCCATTTTATTTTGATTCCTAAAATTTGACTTCATTTTAGTCTATCTAAATATTTTTTGTTCTTGAAACCAAAACAATTAGTTTGAAATTCTAAGAAGCAAAATCAGAATGAGGTCAAATTTTATGTACTAAAAATGATATTAACCCAAAGATAATTATTCAATCTTGTCACATATATTTAATTGGCAAACTTGTAGATGTTACGTATGGAATGATTGGATGTATATTTTACATCAATTCAATTAGGGATGGTTATAAGTTATGATTTATTTTAAGATTAAACTTAATTAAATTCAGGGTAACTCATGAGCTTTACAAAATAAACAACTTAATTTATTTTCTATTATTTCTTCAGTTTTTTTTCCTTCAAATTTTTACAAATAGTCGAAGTGAGCTTTCATGTTATTATAAGATTTGAGTTTGTCTACTAAATTTTGATTCGACTTTTTTAGTTATCACGCCTTTTCTAATCTCATATATATAGTTAATTTAGTTTAGTTTGATTTAACTTAATTTATTAAGCGGATTCAATAGTATGGTTCGATTTGAGTTGGTAATCAATCAATTTGATTCAATGGCAAATGTATCTAATCTATCCTAATCCTTCTTATCAACTCAAATTGTGATTGGATTAATGTGGGGTTTATGGAAGAAATTAAGTTAATAAGTAGTGGAAGAAGCAAAAAGCTTTGATGGATCGAGGTTGACATGCTTACGCCACTTTGTGTCTGTGCTAGGATGATAAGCAGAGCAGAACTAACTTCCATCTGCGCATTATTTTATTTTAAAGCAACGGCGTGCCCATATGGTATTTGAATTTGGTGTCACTAAACAATTGGCTTATTCCTTTTCTGCATTAATTATACCCCTTTTGTGTGCTTCCATCTTTCATCTACTTGGGGAATTCTCCTTTCATCATCGTGAAAACTGAAAACTAAAAATATAATATTTTATTACAATGTACCAACTCATTTTCAACTGATGTTGAATTTGTTTCCAAAAAAAATGTTAATTTATCATACATGTAAGAGTTAGATAATTAATTTATAGATATTATAAAAAAATTAGTTGAATTAATTATTTATAAATAATATATGTTGATTTTTTTAAAATATCCCTCTTAATCATTTGTGTTGGAACTATACTATTGATGAAATTCTTCCTTTAATACGTTCAACTAATAAATATAATTTAGAAAAAAAATCATAAATTTAGGAAATAAACATCAGCGGCTTAAAGCTTTCTCAACAATATATAATTTTCTTTATACACCAGATTTAAACTTAAGATTATACACGCACACACATATATATATATTTAAAAATCTGTCAAATCACTTGAATCAATCATTGTTACTAAGTACCTATTCGGATTAACTACGAAAAATTGATTTTGTGTTGTACATGTGAACCAAATATGTGAAATTTTTTTTGCTTTACATAACACAAAAACGCTTTGTTTAACCCAATCCAAATAAAACCAATGTTTTAGCAATCTTAATATTCTAATGCTAACTTTCACTATGTAATGCTCCAAACCTAATGATTTGTCCATTGAGGTCTTAGGTATAATTGCAATTGGCTTTAGCCTTTATAAATATTGAAATTTTTTACTATAAATATGTGGATGTGCTTTTTTGGTGCATTGTTTTCATTGATCATTGTATGAGCACGTCTTCTGATGGATGCAATTGCTGGTTTCAGGTTTGGCGACAAATAGTTAGGTGCTCTTTATGATTATACATCAGACTACAACTTTAATTTGTCTTTCATTTTCAACTATATTGATTTCATTTTTCTTTCTACAAGTGTTTCAAAATATTTAATTTGAATTATATTTCTCATGTATTACCAATTATTTTGAATTCACATCGTCTTTTAACTGGTTGAAACACTAAAAAAAAAATACTGTTATTTACTGTACTGAAACTTATCACTGCGTGCTTTTTGATTGTTATCAGATTTTTGGGTGATTAATAAATTTCTTTCTTAGGACTTATAGGAATTCCTCCAATATCTAATAAACGTTATGACTTACAGAGAAATAAATATTCATCTAGATACAAGCACATATACTTGTCCATCATCGTATTATTTATTAAATAGGTTGACGATTTTTTTTTGGTCGTCAGATAAATTCATGACAATATCTATATACTAGTCTAATAAGTTTAATCCCAAAAGTAACCTATTCGATTTTTCAATTTTGACCAGTTTTATTGATTCTTTTTTGTTTCTTGATCAAAAGTTTATTCATCCTCAAAATGACTCATTTTACAAAAGTTACGTTTCAACCAACTTCACACGAATTTACTGATT